TCACAACGCATTGGATAGCTGGCCAATCACAGCACACCTCGCTTTTCAGACCGATGAGTTTTGTAAAAATCGACGCGTTTCAGAAAGGCGGGGCATAGAGGAGAAACAATAATGTACAGTATGTGGAAAATAATGTGTTTTTTGAACCTTAAACCGCATAAACACATTTCATTACACCAAATACACAACATAATGTTCTTTTTAGCAACATCATATGACCCCTTTAAAGAGCATAAAATACTCGCACTAGACTGAAGTCAGTTATGATGTTCTTTGGTAATGTAAATATTCTTTGCTCGTTTCTGTTTGAATAACTGTGGAAATGTAACTGTTTTATTAACTGCTTGTCATCAAACATTTCAAGAACATTCTTCCTCTCCTGAAAGATTTGTGCACGTCTCTGTCTCCTCAGCGCCATCACAAGCCCCTACTGGCAACTCCTAACCACTTGAGAGCCCTCTCGAGCTGTCTTAAATAACTGGGAGTGTAAGAGTGATTCTTAGCTTTAAGAAATTTGATAACTTGCTTTTATACTTAAGTTTGAAAGTAGGGGTAAATTTAATGAGTTCTCAGCACTTAAGACTAAAATGGCACTTTGAGAAGCTTGATAAATACGGGCCCTGGTTCAGAAGTGTTTCTGTATCAGTCAGAATTTCAAAGCAGTATAAAAGCCGTTCTGAGTTTTTATGTTGATTGTTTTACTGTTGGCAGGAAGTTGGCAATCTCTACGACATGTTCCACACTCGTAACTGCCTCCATCGCCGGGCGTATCAGCACAAAGTGGGCAACATCATCGAGACCATGTGTGTATTCTCCTCACTGAACCACACATTGTCCTGTTCACAGCTTCGGTGTGATTGAAGTGTTCTGTCCTGGTTGTTTTGTATCAGGATAACGGAGGCTTTTGTAAAAGCTGATCCTCATATTCAGATCCAGGGCTCTTCTGGGAGGATCTTCAGCATCTCTTCAGCTATAGACGACATGGAGGCCTACACCAAACTCACAGGTGCCTCACCTTTCCGTTTTACATGACTTCTAACATTCTATTCTATTTCTATTCTAACTACTTGTTTTCTTAAAAAACAGCCTCTATCTCTAGTGTTCTCTATTCTTTTTCTATTCTATCTACTTGTTTTGTTTTAATTTATTATAAAAAAGAGCCTCTAACACTAGCATTCTGCATTCTTTTTCTATTGGTTTGACTTGTTTTATTTTAATTTTAAAAAAGTCCCTCTAAGGGGACTTCTGATTCATTCAATCGACTCTCTTTATGAATGGATCACTGAATCAGTGGCTCACGCGATTCATTCGGTAATGAAACACCGCTGTGTGTTACTCAGAAAGGCACAACAGTTCTACATTTTCACACGATATTAGTGACTTTATTTATTGAACTGTTGCATAAATTCTATGTAACATTTGGAATTGTGCAGATATTTGGTATAAACCAGTACTCTTGTTGTGTGATATTGTTTAAATATGTAATATAAATATAAGACGCCGCTGCATCCAGAGGCATGTTTAGCGCTGGGATCTTGAACTCTGCGTTCACAGACTCATCAGTCTACAGGTCTGGGCGGCGGCTGCGTTAAATGCCTGGTTGGAATGTGTTATTTCTTTTCCAAAATTAATTAATGTGTTGTCAACAGCCCTAATTAGTATAGTTATCAAATTGCTATTTACAGTCAAGTTTATTCCCCATTGGTGTGTTTGGCCCTATAATTGCTGCTCTCTTGCAAATTTGCTGAAATGTAATTTTGTAATAAAAAAATATTATATATTACATCAATCAATCAATCAAATATTCAGAACAAAGAGAAGCTGAAGGATGATTATATGTGACCCTGGAGCACAAAACCAGTCATAAGGGTAAATTTTTCGATATTGAGATTTATACACCATCTCAAAAGCTGAATAAATAAGCTTTCCATTGATGTATGGTTTGTTAGGATAGGACAATATTTGGCCGAGGTACAACTATTTGAAAATCTGGAATCTGAGGGTGCAAAAAAATCTAAATATTGAGAAAATCATCTTTAAAGTTGTTCAAATGAAGTTCTTAGCAATGCATATTACTAATCAAAAATTAAGTTTTGATATATTTACTGTAGGAATTTACAACATATCTTCATGTAACATGATCTTTACTTAATATCCTAATGATTTTTGGCATAAAAGAAAAATCTATTATTTTGACCCATACAATGTATTTTTGGCTATTGCTACAAATATACCCCAGCGACTTAAGACTGCTTTTGTGCTCCAGGGTCACATATATAAGATATAATATATCTGATGCACATCTGGTTTTCTCTCAACAAGACACATGGACTGTGTTTATGTCAGTACTCCACATGATGGGCATTTTGACATAATTCAGTGTGTATTTGAACTGAATTGGGGAGAGATGCTCTCTCTGTGTGTGAGAGAGTCGGTGTGAGTTCTTTTCACTGATTAATTATTCTTTAACATCACGCATGTCCCGCTCTTTATTTTCTCATTCACACATGTTTCTTTAGTGATCTGACATGTCAAAGTATTAGTGCTGTTCTATGTGGATATAAATGATCAAAATCATTTATTCTAGGATTAGAAAGCATATTGCTCACTGGCTTTGTTTACATGCACAACTTTTGTTTCAATTGGACTGAATTCATTCCGACTGATGAATCTGAATGTAGTGTTTACTAGAGTGTTTACATGCGCTCTCGCCGTATTAGCAAAGCAATAAACCACCCCTTACAATACGGTTGAAATCTGATTCAGATCGAGCTCAGTCGGATCGAGTGAGGTGTTTACATGAAGTCTTTTCAGCCCGATTGAGCCGTCAATCCCATTACAAACGGATTATTTGGTTGCATGTAAACGTAGCCAGTGTTATATACACTCACATTCTATTGCGCTGAAAGATGCACATGATGAAATGGGGGTGATTTGATCATGTTTCAGATCACATATTTGAGCAGATTCTGTACTCGTCTGCGCCGGAGCTGTCTGAGGCTCGAGCCATCCTACACAACATCGTCTGCAGCCGGCTGTACAAGTGTGTGGGTCAGACCACAGCTGAGACGCACCTGGACACCTCACCGGTGAGCAAGAACAAATAATGACCTTCAGTGGATGCACAAGATGATGAGAGAACATTACAAGTATCTTCATGTGTTTTGAAGATGAACAAATGTCTCATGGGTTTTGAATGACATGAGAGTGAGTAAATAATGACAGAAATTTCAGTTTTAGGTGAGCTACTCATGACCCTTTGATAGGAGAAAGGTCTTGGAAAATACAAATTTTGTCTTAAGAAAAAGATTGTGGAACCAGTTGCTAAAGAAAGATGAAAGTGTGAATTGTGTGTGCGAAGTGACAGAGTTGCTGATTAAAGTTTGTGATCTCTTGCAGGAGAAGCTACTGGACTGGGCAAAGGAAGTCGCCTGCTCAAAACCCAGTGGCACAGACGCCAACCTTATAGCCGAGGACTTTGTAGTTAGTGTACGTTTGCTGTGCTTCAACCAGGTTTCTTCAGTTTTAACAATGCAGCTATGAGCTGTCAGAACGAACACAGCTCCTGTCACTCACACAACCTTCTGTTTACAAAGTCATGAAGACTGGACACTTCAACCCAACAGCTCAAATTATAAACCATTATTATAAGCTTACTGTTGTGAAGGCAAGCAGATGTTAAAATGGTGTTCATGAAAGGGACTTTTTCACTGCAGATGCTGTCGAATCAGCATCGAAACACACGTCACGCACGAGTGTGGATCACAGCCGTGGCGTCGATACCTCTTCTGAACGAGAATTAATAAGAATAAGAATCGATCTCTCAATAAATATGAGCTTCCAAAAACTGTGTGCAATTAAAGAATCAGCTGAGTGCTGTTTAAAATAATCCTGGTATATTGTAAACTGTCCTCTTTTGTTCTCTAGGTCATTCACATGGATTATGGAATGAAGGAGAAAAACCCCATCAACAATGTCCATTTCTACTGCAAGAAAGATCCCACCAAAGCCATCAAGATCCGCAAAAATCAGGTACACTCAGGAAAGGGACTGTCAGCCACCAGAAACACATCAACACTCTTCACCATCACCGCTGGCAAAAACACCTCCCCTATCACTTCAACTCCACCGCCGAACATTAACATCACACCTCGTAACCGTATTGTTTAACGGACCCGAGCTAACAACTAACAACGTTCAGTTGTATTACTTTAACTAACATTAACACAATAGCTTCTGTAACACATCTAGCTATTTCTCATTGTTACTATGTTAATGCATTAACTAACGTTTACGAATGAGACTTTATTGTAAAGTGGTCTTTATAGTTCTTTTGCACTTTAATCTTTATGAAACATTTGATTAGCTTGAACATTTAAATACGATAATGCAGTACACAAAAAATGAGTTATTTTTGTGATTGAAAAAAAGGTTTAGACCTTTTTGCAACATTTCAATATTGTGACTGTATACCGTGATTTAAGCTTCAGCAATTATTGCAACAGGAAAATTTGATACCGTCATATGCCTAATTTGAACATTTCGCTCAGTGATCCCCTCCCAAAAAACAAAAACAAAACACATGCCTAGAAAGTTGATTATGGATTAATTTCCATATTAAATGAAGAGTGTTTATGTTTAGATTGTATTGCTTCTAGTCCCAAAGAAGATATCCTCTGTATATAGTTTGTGGGAAATGCATGTTGGTAGAGGAAAGATGTTGTACGTTTGAGCATTGCCTGACTAATTTTATAACCCAGACAAAATGAAGGCCTGTGTTCCTGATGTCCGTGTTGGGTGTAACAGGTGTCCAAACTGCTGCCAGAGCGCTTCGCCGAGCAGCTGATCAGGGTTTACTGTAAGAAGACGGATGACAAGAGCCTAGAAGCTGCTAAGAAGTACTTTGTCCAGTGGTGCATGGACAGGAACTTCACCAAACCCCAGGCAAGACTTGGCTTTTCCAATTTTGTAGTCATTCAAGTTTCAGTTTGATTTCCAAATATACTTGGTACTTTGAGCAATGGACTTGTCAGATATATTTCAGACGCTAGTTTGGAGAATTCTGAACAGAACCTGTATATTACCCAGTTATTGTGATCACTATAATAAGTACATAGTACAGCGGGTAAAATAAGTATTGAGCACATCACCATTTTTCTCAGTAAATATATTTCAAAGGTGCTGTTGACTTGAAATTTTCACCAGATGTCGGTAACAACCCAACTAATCCATACATACAAAGAAAACAATACAAATACGTTTAGAAATGAAGTCCTGTGTAATAAAGTGGAATGACCCAGGGAAAAAGTATTAAAGTAGAGACCTGCACTCCCGCGGGAGGACCGCGGGACCCAACGCAACGGGGTGCGGCACGGGACAACTCTTGATGGGCGAGTGCGGGTGCGGGTGCGGGTGCGGGTGGGGAGAGACTCGTGTGTGCGGGATGCGGGAGAATAAAATGATTCGCGGGACTCCCTCAAAATAGAAATGATCTAAACATAAAATGTCTAAAACATATAAATTGTTATTTATCTGTTGCACAAAAGCAAAAAGAACAACTAATATTAACATTAAAATGATTGACTTGCGCAAGCTAGGCAGAGTTTCTATTTATAACACGTGTTTAAGGGGTTGCGCAATGTAGCCAATCACAGACTCGGCTGTTGATTTCTGGAACACAATGGCCAATCAGAGGTGATTAAGTTAGAACCCACTCACCGCAGTGCTGAAACCCACGATGTTTTTGCACAGTTTTGGACACAGAAGGGCCACCATTCAAGTGGGAATTAAATATTCCATGGCGGGATATATAAAATATTTAAAAATAAATATGGTGGGTAACTCGAAGCGAGGGTTTACAGATCACAATGCAAGTGGGAGAAGTCTCATGTTACGTTCGTCAGGATGACAACATGCAGGATCAACACTGTTCATGTACCCAGGGGCGGACTTACCCATTAGACAAAGGTAGGTGACCGCCTTGGGCCCCCAAAAGCCAAGGGCCCCCTAAAATGCTTTTCATATAGGATATGTGCATTAAGTGCTGACATGCGAACGGTTGCTGTTTACGGTGTTTATTACCACGACAACCGTCCGAGTCCGTGGCGCTTGCAGGTGTACGGCTGTACGCACGGTGCGTACCAGGAGCGCTCAGACTGACCTGAGATTTGCCCCGCAAACATTTAAGCAGTTATTATAGGCCTTTGTGTCCCGTTTTTCTGTCGACTGAACCAGCCATGCCATTAATTATGAATGTATAATTATGTGCCTCTAGAAGCTTGCGTTCTGCAAGTGAACGTCGCTTTATTGTTCATCTCAAAGAGGCACAAAATCACTTTCACAGACTTTTTCATTAACTGTTCCCTCCTGGTGGAATGACCTGCCCAACTCAATCCGAGCAGCTGAGTCCTTAGCCATATTCAAGTATTGGCTAAAAACACATTGTTTCCATCTTTATTTGGCCCTCTAACTCTAGCACTCTCTATTCTAATTCTATTATTTAAAAAAAAAATGCCCCTTTTAGACTTGCACACTATTCATTTACTAACAGCTTCTTTTCTTAAAGGGGTCATATGATGCTATTTTAAAGATCATTATTTTGTGTATTTGTTGTAACAGAATATGTTGACATGCTTTAATGTTCAAAAAACACTCTTTTTATTTATTATATTATTTAAAAAACCCTTGCTACGTGTACTGTGTTAGGCTAACCGAGAATTGTCATGTGCACTTATATATTGTTGCTCTTTTGTTAGTTTTGACTGCTTTTATTGTCCTCATTTGTAAGTCGCTTTGGATAAAAGCGTCTGCTAACTGACTAAATGTAAATGTAAATGTAATGAATTGATCAGTCTTTTGCATGCCAAAGTCAATTTCTGCATAGAAATAATCGTGCTATACGCACTTTCATGAGATCGGGTTAGCCTGCAACAATTAATTTGTTGGCTATTTTACAAATGAGAATACAACATAAATAATTCACATATCAGACAAAATTGCGTTGCAGCAAATCCTTTAAATTTTAGGGTATTCAGATCAGAGCAACATAAAAATCAGAAAATATAAGCAGCTATAGGCTACAGTTATAGGACAAAGTTTTAATTGAATATGTCAACATATGTGACTGCTGGTCGTTGTTTCATATCATCAATCCAGGAGGTGGCGCTGGTCAACTTCGTAGGATGAGGAACAGAAAAAGTTACATTGTTTACGGTCTTTGTCAAATAGTCTTGATCGTGCTGCCACCGTGAACTAAAGCTGCCGTTGCTTGTTGACATTATGGACGTTAAAAGTAAGTAAAACAGATTACAACCGTCGTTTCAGAGCTGTCCAAATAACTCTGTAACGCCTAACTAAACGCATCAAGCTGCAACCGGAAGTTCGAAGCATCCTCCATACGCGTACGCGCAAAGCATAGTGGGTAATTTCGCGTTCCATGAAAAAGGTCTATATATATTTATCATGTCTGTGAGGCAATTCGCTGAGTTTAGGTTCATCATTGTGAAACGCTCCTGTTCAAGACCGAGACGGCAGAAAGCGTTTTGTTTTCTTTATTTTATAAAAGCACAACGTTTTGTTGATATTGTGAGTGCACACAAATAAAACTAGACCCTTTACAGTTTAGAATGATGTATTAAATACTCTTACCTTTATGAGCAAAAATGACTGCGTATTTTAAGTTGTTTCCACTGTTAGAAAAATGCAAGTGATGGCGCCTCCATGTGCTGCAGAGCTTCCACTCTTCGCACAAACGATTAGATATGCGTCTAACAGCGCACATTTATCAAGGTTAAACATTTAAACTAACATTGTGATATGCTTGAACTGTTTTATATCTATAGATTTTATTTTAGGCAAGTCGTGATGATTTGAGAAGGCTAAATTGATCAAACAGGCTATGATCAATTCACTGTCTGCCGCTTGGTCGTTACTTCAGAAAGAAAAAAAACGTACATTTAACGAAACAAAAAAATGCTCCAAACGTTTTTTCTAAATTTACTTTATAAAAAAAACCGAAACAAAATATAATCACTTTTTCATTACATACAAAGCTGAACTATTTGAATAGCTGAAACAGTAGTATAAGCTTTTTTTTGGAGAAGGGGAAAAAGACGAGCTATAGGGCCTATATTATTTGAGACCCGTGCAGGGCTTTAATCCACGTCATCCAACGGTGTTTTGTTCTCATCAGTGAGCATGCTCTTGATATATGTATTTTACCATTTTGTTGAGTTTAAAACGTGTGACACATTCGTTCTGCTCTCACTGATCATTTGGTGCCCTAACCCCGCCCCCATGCGTACCCTCAAAAGAAATCCTGCAGGCGCCCCTGGTCCGAGTTGAATGTGCTTTTTGTGTATCCTGCTTGAAGGAGATGAAACTATTATTATTTAAATTTGTAGTTAAAATAACTAAAAATACATGTATTTTAAAGTTTAGAATTAGACCGCCTTTGCACACAAAGCGCCTCCTACTGGCAGAAAATGAATCGAGGGGTGAGAACCAGAAGGGCGTAAGTGACATTTTTGTTGTTTTTGTGAAAACCTGTATCTCAACTGTAAATCAGTTGCTATTTTGTGGTCTACAACATGAAAGAAAGCCATGATAACATGTACATGAAAAATGTAGAAATATTGGACACAACTATGGGGCACCATTGTGCAGCAGCAAGCATCACAACAAAAAAGGAACCTCCAGGTTGATCTAGGAAAATGTGTGCAAATGTATAGGGCCCCATTCCTATATTTTGCCAGGGGCCCCCAATTCACTATATCTGCCCCTGCATGATGTACCGCAGAATACGATTAAATTAATTTACATTTAACTAGTTTAATATGAAGAGGCACTGAAATGTAGACCTTCGTTTGTGTTTTTGACCTACACTGTACATGATGTGAGAACAGTTAGCTATTTAGGTTTGTAATAGCATTGACTCACTAACTTTAATTTTAGCTGGTTTTAGCCAGAGATACCTTGCTAAAGCACAAGATGACATTAATGTTCTGCTTGAGCAGATGAAAATTGTAACTTAATGAGAGTATGACAACCAGAAAATGAAAGTTTTTGTCTTCATTGAGATTGGAGTGGAATACTTAGGGACATTTTGCTCTGTTTTGTTTGGGTTTAGGAAATGTAATAAAATGATTCCAGGTATCCCGAGAGGATAGGCAATAGATTTAGTGTTACAAGTACCACAGGCACATCGTTTTTTTTTTGTTTTTTTTTTCATTTTTGAAGCATAAACATCAAACCGATGCGAGCTTCAGATCTTCCAGTGTTTCTCTATGGCACTGAAAGCTACAGATGTCCGAGTTCTGCTCCCCATGCAACTGATACTCGACTGCCATTGGCTCATCTGCATTCGAGGGGAGGGGCTTACCGATAGGTCAATTGCATGCTCACGAGTCCTCTCATTTTAACACACGAAGCGTAGACATTGTGAAGGATTCATTGTGCATATGTTCATTGTGTTATAACAGAGCTTTATGAGATCGCGATGAACTGAGATGTCAGCTTTTAGTGATAATAAAGGAAGCGCTGCTCGCATTCTGCCATGCCAAACCATGCACGCAGCAGCCCATGCTTGCTTTTCTGTTAAAAATAACAATAGTTTGTGAATGTGGATGCTTAACCTAAATAACAAATATTTTATCGGGAGCGTTTAGGCTGGGATGTTGTGGAGCTTAGGAGATGTTACAGAACCATAACATAAATTTCTTCGATGTACTGAAAAAAATCTATATAGATTACTTTTATGCGGGCGGAAGCGGGACCAGATAAGATGTATTTCTGTGGGAGCAGGACTGAAAAATCTCTCTACATTGAACACATGAAGAAAGGGCACCTTCAAAAAGGCATGGAAAGCCAAGACACCAGCTGAAATCTATCAGTAATTAAAAAGCAATCCTGCCCCTCTTCAGTGGAAATTAATATTAGCTGCTTCAGTCCCAACACCTACAGTACCAGGATGATGAAACAAGGTGGACATTTCAGCAAGACAATGATCCCAAACACAGCCAAGGAAACTCTCGATTGGTTTCAGAGAAAGAAAGTAAAGCTGCTAGAATGGCCAGCCAATCACCTGACTTGAATCCAATAGAAAATCTATGGAAAGAACTACAGATCAGAGTTCATAGAAGAGGCCCACAGAGCCTTCAAGATTTGAAGACTGTTTGTGTGGAAGAATGGGCCAGAATCACACCTGAGCAATGCATGCCACTAGTTTCTCCAGACAGCTGTCATTACCAACAAAGGCTTTTGTACGAAGTAATAAATACACTTCAGTAAGCGTGTTCAATACTTTTTCCCTGGGTCATTCCACTTTATTACACAGAACTTAATTTCTGAACTTATTTGTATTGTTTTCTTTGTATGTATGGATTAGTTGGGTTGTTACTGACATCTGGTGAAAATGTCAAGTCAACAGCACCTTTAGAAATATATTTACTTGAGAAAAACGGTGATGTGTTCAATACTTATTTTACCGCTGTATGTGCATGTAGAACGGGGCTGTAAAATAAAGTGCCAGCGGTACATCAGTAAACCGGCTGATTTCAGTCTGCTTCGGGTAGTTTTCGGTCAGGTTTGGTAGTTATGAGTGTACTGGAGTGTCACTGTTGTTTGTCCATAGAGTGAAGTGTGTTGACTCCAGCGTTGTTCCTGAGGATATCTCGTGTGTTCCCTGACCCTGAACAGTAACACTGGTGTGTTCGTGAATGTGTTTCAGGATGGAGACGTCATCGCCCCAGAGCTCACCCCACTCAAACGGGACCAGCACACGCTGGAGCGAGACGGCGAGGACAGTGATGGCAGCGATGAACACAGTCGTCCCGGAACAAGACAGGAAACGCCCAGGAAGACCGGGCATAATGTGAAAGTCAGCCTCTTTCAAGCTCAGGAGGAATGCAGACTCAACCACTGGCCCTCGCTGCGCTTCTCTCTGTGACCAGATGCTCATTCTGTCACAGAGTGTTTTTGAGCTTCATTTAAACTGTGTTTGCCTCTGTTTGCTTTTATTTTCAGCTTTAATATCATGTTCACAGCCAGGGTTTTAATGCAACTCGCACCTCTGACACAGAGACACTTTATTATACATCAATCCAGAATGAATGTCTCTCTTCTCCATCCATCGTGTTTCGATGCAGAGGGAAAAGTTAAATGCGTTTTGGCATTCTTTTTTTTTATTATTTATTTATTATTTATTTAAAACTTTTTATCAGGGACTCACTGTTACTTCTTTCCTTCTGTTAATCGGCCCTCCACTCACTCGCAGTGTGGAGAAACTCATGTTATAATGGCTCTCGAAGATGATGGCATTTTATATATCTATATGTGAGCACTATATAACTATATTTTTTTAGACTTCAGCCTCTTTGTATTACAGTAATGGGTGATGGTGGCCTGATTTTCTTGGATCTGGTTTCAGATGTTCTCATCTTCTCATCAGTACAGGCTTTTGCTGTGAACAGGAATCTGACTCCGTTATGCTCGGTTATATTTCAGTCTGTACTGACGTATTAAAAGTCACAGCACAATCTCATCAAGGCTGTTGTACAGAAAAAGGTTCCCTTGAGGAACATGTTGCACATGTGATGCTTGGAGATGTCGTGCTGAAACAATGCAAACTCAATCAACATCTCAAAATCCAGAGCATGCAAATAAAAATCCAGTCATGCAATTCTTTGTTTTAATGTACGACTCATGGCCTGATAGTGAACATGTCATAAAGTACAGAGTCAGACCCACGTTTATGTACTTACTTTTAAATGAATTTTTTGATACAATTCATTTAAAACAATTTATGTTTTTACATTGCATTTATATTTAAAAAATAATCCATAATTACACTGTCGACCCATCACTTAAACTTTACCAAACAACCAAACCTAACCTCACCTCAATAGCAAAAGTGACTTGCAATGTAACATGAACACAATAAGTGCATTTATACCCTTTTTTCTTTCTTTTTTTTCTTCTCTTTTTGACTGAAGTACATAATAGTTAAATACACCTAACATGAAATGAGACCTAAAGTACTGTTGACAAAATGATCTCCTCAAGTTAGTTCTCCATATACAGTAGTGGTTCCTAGAGGGACAAGCTCACACTACACAACACAACAAGGTGCACAAACTTACAAGACATTTGGTCAAGAGACAGTCCTGGCCAACGGAAAAAAAAACATGGTTAAACTTTATTTTAAGGTGTCATTGTTACACTGTAATCATACATTTAAGTAGTGAGTAATATTAAATAATTACACATTCTTACGGTTCTTATGGTTAGGTTTAGGGTTTGGCTTAGGGTTACTTGCATGTAATTATGCATTAATTTGCATAAGTTATTGTTATTATAATAGTAAGTACATGTAATATGTAACAAGGACACCTTAAATTAAAGTGTTACCTAAAACGTTTTCTCACATAAATTCACACAAGAAGTTTAATGCAAGGGATTACAAGGTTATTCCATTTCTCCCATCGGCACTGTGATTGGTTGGATTAGTTCCTCCTTTGTCGTTTCATTATACACTACAAGATCAGGTGGCGATAATATAAAACATGCTTGAAACTTGTGGTGTCTGTGATCGCTGGAGACTGATTCAGATCACGTGTTTTTTTTTTTTTGTAAATCTGTCAGTGACAGCATAATCCAGGCATAAATTGTGTAGCGTGCGCTTGCCTTAACATTAACTTGACCAAAGAGCAGTAATAAGTTATTCCAAATGTACATTTTCCTCATCCACCTTTAAACTGCAGCTGACCTGACTATTGACCATAGATGCCCAAAGCAGCAGCTGGCGGTCCTCAGGTCAGGAGGGGTTTGTATGGCAGGTCAGTGATGGAGCAGCGTGCGACTGCTCACAGGTCAGGAGTCTATTCAGTCGTAGTGCACAGCTACTTGACATATGTTAACAGTAGTCTACTTTCTAGTGTAGTCTAGAGGTGTGATCACACTACAGCTGATCAGACATCAGGGCTTCAATAGTAAACTCACGCTGGAAGACTAGCCTCAGCAGCAGCTTATAAACACACAGGGAAGAGTTCGGTTGGAGTAACTGATGACTGCTCTCCGGTCAGATGTGCTTCATCCGTGAAGTACATTAGAGCTGTTTATAGGCCACTCTCACTTCAAGTGTTGTTGATGTGCATTAACAGTAGCTAGTGTGCTTTGTGGCCACTTTTTATATCTGTTGTGGTTCATAGATATGTTGGCACTTTACAGCACTTCACAGCCACTCTCATGTCAGCAGTAGTCTATAATGCTGGACAACCATTTTAATGAGTTAATACTTCCAGGCGAGCTGAATTCATACTGGCCTTCCGGGAGCAGGACTGGACTCCTCTGAACAAAGTACTGACTTAAGGGTCTGATTAGGGTCTGATTAGCTGATTAGCATGTCACCAAATTAGAATATGGTGACATGCTAATCAGCTAATCAACTCAAAACACCTGCAAAGGTTTCCTGAGTCTTCAAAATGATCTCTCAGTTTGGTTCACTAGGCTACACAATCATGGGGAAGACTGCTGATCTGACAGTTGTCCAGAAGGCAATCATTGACACCCTTCACAAGGAGGGTAAGCCACAAACATTCATTGCGAAAGAAGCTGGCTGTTCACAGAGTGCTGTATCCAAGCATATTAACAGAAAGTTGAGTGGAAGGAAAAAGTGTGGAAGAAAAAGATGCACAACCAACCGAGAGAACCGCAGCCTTATGAGGATTTTGCTGCGGCGCCCGGGGAGCAGTTGGGGGTTCGGTGCCTTGCTCAAGGGCACCTCAGTTGTGGTATTGAAGGTGGGAGAGAGCGCTGTACATTCACTCCCCCCACCTACAATCCCTGCCAGTACGAGACTCGAACCCGCAACCTTTGGGTTACGAGTCCGACTCTCTAACCATTAGGCCACGACTTCCCCCTAAGTCCCCCTTATAGCGTGTTTAACACAACAGATTGTGTCAAAACAGCTTTACAGTATTAAATAGTCAAGTCAGCTTTATTTATATAGCGCTTTTAACAATACAGATTGTGTCAAAGCAACTGTACAGTATTAATTACGAAAATAGTGTAACACTCAATTTTCAGTTAAAGGCAGTTCATCATTAAATTCAGTGATGTCATCATCCATCTCAGTTCAGTTTAAATAGTATCTGTGAAACCGGGCTCAGTCGGGGGACCAGTTCTTCTCTGTTGCAACCTAGAATGAAACTGCTGGTTTCGTCTGGCCAAAGTCAAATTGAGTAGAGGGCTGGGCTGGATACGGACTGGATCCGGTGACTGCAGTGACCATCTGATCTGGATACAGACTGGATCTGGTGGCTACGGTGACCTCGGAATAAGAAAGAAACAGACTAATATTAGCGTAGATGCCATTCTTCTAACGATGTAGCAAGCATCGGGTGTTATGTTTAGTGTTCCCAGTTCCAGTTGACCTAGGGTGTATTCACATCTGCAGAACAACCAAGCAAAGCATTGCAATAATCTAACCTTGAGGTCATGAACGAATGAATTAACGTTTCTGCATTTGACTTTTAAGAGCATAGGTCGTAATTTAGATATATTTTTGAGATGGAAAAATGCAGTTTTACAAATACTAGAAATGTGGCTTTCGAAGGAAAGATTGCTATCCAATAGCATACCTAGGTTCCTAACTGATGACGAAGAATTGGCAGAGCAGCCATCAAGTGTTAGACAGTGTTCTAGATCATTTCATGCGGAGGTTTTAAGTCCTATAATTAACACTGATACGGTTTAAATCCTGACTGGAAATCCTCACAGATACCATTTTTCTCTAAGAAGGAATATAGTTGTGAGGATAGTACCTTTTCTAGTATCTTTGACAGACAAGGGAGATTCGAGGTCGGTTTGTAATTAACTAGATCTTTGGGGTCAAGTTGTGGTTTTTTAAAGGGGTCATATGATGCTATTTTTATGTGGGGGCATGTTGGAACGAGCCATTTTATGTAGGTGTGGTTGACTCTTAACTTTTATAAAGAATATCTCTTTGGATTTGAGACTTTAGTCTTTGCAACTTTACAGATCTTCTTTATGCACCAAGAGCTTGTAACACTCCAAAGAGAAAGGAAAACTTGAAATTGCATCATATGACCCCTTTAATGAGAGGCTTAATAACAGCCAGTTTGAAGATTTTGGGGACATATCCTAATACCAATGAGGAATTAATAATAGTCAGAAGAGGATCTATGACTTCTGGAATCACTTCTTTTAGGAACTTAGATGGAATAGGGTGTAACATACATGTTGGTTTAGATGATTTAACAAGTTTATACACTTCTTAGAAGCCTAAGATCTTGCGACCAGGCTCTGTTGGTAGTTCCACATGTTAGACTTAAGCGTAGAGGGGAGCGTGCATTTGCGGTGGCAGGGCCACGGCTTTGGAATACCCTGCCTTTAGAAATTAGAATGGCCCCTTCGCTGCCTGTCTTTAAGTCCCTGCTAAAAACCTATCTGTTTTCCTTAGTGTATTGATTACTGTTATTCGGTAATTTTTTAATGGGTTGTTCATATTTTTATTTGACTTGTTTTCTGTGTATGTCTTTATAAATTTCTCTTCTGTAAAGCACTTTGGTCAGCCTAGCGGCTGCTGTAAATGTGCTATACAAATAAAATGAATTTGAACTTGAACTTCCTAGTAGAGAATTAGTGGAATTGTTCCTCAGGGGATCTATAGCGCACTATCTGATGTGGTACTGTAGCTGACGGCGTGAAGCCATGTGTTTCTAATCCTGCGTACACATATGCCTTTGCAAATTAATTTGTCCACCAGGTGGCAATACTGCCCTGACCCATTGTTTCATAGTCGAAAAGAGGCGAGATGGAACATCAAACTACTGGAGATGACAGATAAGGGAGCCAAGATGGTGACCGAGACACACGCGTTTTTCTGTGGATAAAGAGTAACTGTCTTTTACGCCAAATTAACAGCGATAACTCTAATTGTTTAAAAGTGTGCAGTGTTAATTTGTTAGAAATTGTGAGGAAACAGGCTTCCAGTTTTCGTTTGTATTTGGCATATTCATTTACACAATGGCAGGGAAGAGACCCGCAAAAAGCAAATAAAAATAAAATGGCAGATGGGCGCGTAAATGATTCCCCTGATCAGACTGACACGCACTCACATGCACATAAAAATGGTACTGGTACATCTCTCATACCCTTGTCTGAATCTGAGTCTAGTACTCCGGACTCTAAGAGAAGCTGACCTGAACCCACACTCGGGGAGGTGCAAGATAATATCGTCAAGATATTGGTGGAAAAGATGAGTCCGAATACAGCTGTTCTCAATCAAGAAATAATAAAGCAAAACCGTGAGTGTGTTAATTCTTTGAAAGGAAATATCTCACAGAATATCTCTTTCAGGAGTTAAAGGATGTAAAGGCAAACATATCTAATATGAAAACAATGGGCGAAGTTAATTAGAAACGGATAACTGAACTGGAGGACAAGTTCAATGAAACGGAAAGGTACCACAGACGGTAAGATTTGAGGCTGTATGGACTGGCTGAACTGGAAGGTGATGATGTTAAAGCCCGGGTGGTTCAAATTTGCTGCTCTGTCATCCCAGAAAATGAGGTGGCCTGTCAACAGCACATCGATGTCAGCCACAGGGTTGGCAGGAAGAACGCGGTGAAGACTCGACCAGTTATCATCAGGTTCATTGCCAGGTCAACAAGAGATCTCATTTGGAAGAACGCTAGAGGAT